AAACACTTGCTTATAATGAGATACCCCTTTCTGAAATTCGGCCGTAAAGTTCACTTTGTCCCGGCAATGAATGTAAACATTCTAAGCATTCTCTATCGTTTTATAATTAACCAACTGGGATCACCTAGGTAAGAGTTTGTACAACCATTGGGATCTTACAATTGTAGCATTCTCTTATAAATCAAAGCCCGGTAAATTAAAATAGAATTGCAAAACAAATAAGCTAAGGGATAATTGAATCATAAAATAAAAATTTAACTTTAAAAGCATTTTGCAATATGTTCTTTCAATTTCAAACATCTTTAAAGCATTTAATTATTCTGTTAGCAGAAAAGCTTCAAGTTTACCTTGGAGAACTTAATGCTTCCGAGTTATTTCCAGTTAAATACAAATCAGAAATTACTATAAAACAGCTGAATTTATTATATGAGTAAATTAAAATAGAAGTCGTTTGCCAAAAAAAAGTCACTCGCAAACAACCTTTCCCTCAGGAATGTGTAGTTTGCATAAAGTGAGTTCTTCCTGTCAAACAGAAAGTAAAGGCATCAGAAAGGAGAGGCATCTGAAATGCACTTTCCGTTTGTCTGTAACTAGGCCAGGACCAATTCAGAAAGGAAACGTCTGGAATTCTGCTTCATGTCACTATGCATAGGAGTTAAGATAACAAACTGCCGCGGGCCTCTTTCAGGGCAGCAAAATAAACCAAAATTGTCTCCAGGGTCGTAAATTCGAGAATGATATGGTAGACATGAACACAGAGAAGGAGAACTGGGGCAAATATTTTTTAATGTTTGCTGTTGGGCAGGATGTTTTTTTTCTCATGAGTTTACTGTTTCTAGTAAATGTGAAATGCCTTATTTTTTTTGCCTTATGTACTATTATTATTTAGGCTTAGGCCCCTACTGCGGGAGTGGGTGGGAATCCAGGGCATATCAGAGAAAGTCATCATCTAGGGATGGCTGTGAAGAGAATGTAGGCATTGGATGTGGAGGAAAGGAGGCAGTCGATTGAAGGCTTTGACCGCTCTGCCTCTCCTTTCCTACCATCAGTGGGAGAATATGTTGAATTTGAGTGACGTGGGTTTAACATATGCTTCTTGTTGTTCTAATTGCACACAGAAGTGAAGTGTAAGCTCTTTAAATGAATCAGGTTATGGCATTCACTCCCAACATTTGATACCTGTTGGGGATGAGGGAAGTGTTGATGGAAGGAGGAGTAACTGAGGTTCACCCCAGGTGCTGCAAAAAGAGAAGGTCAGGCAGAACAAATTAAAGTCAGCTCTGAGAATCCCAAAAGCAGCAGCAGACTGGGGCAATGAGTCATTACAGCTCTTAAGGTGTAGCAAACTAATAGTAATTTCATTAAAACACTAAGGCTGACAATCATCTGATAAATGGTACAATATTTTATTACCATCTGATTAAGAAGAGACAGTACCCCACACACACTTTACTTATTATGCCTGTTTACATGGAGGGATCTCTAGGCTCATACCGTCTTTATTTTTTCTTTATTCTTTGAGACAAAGAGTCTCACTCTGTCACCCATGCTAGAGTACAGTGATGCAATCTCCACTAAAGGCAGTCTCCATCTTCTGGGTTCAAGCGATCCTCCTGCCTCAGCCTCCTGAGTAGCTGGGATTAAAGGTGTGCACCACCATGCCCAGTTAATTTTTGTATTTTTGATAGAGGTGGGGTTTGGCCAGGCTGGTCTTGAACTCCTGACCTCAGGTGATCTACCCACCTCAGCCTCCTAAAGTACTAAGATTACAGGCATGAGCCACTGCACTGAGACTCATATTGTCTTAAAAATCAATGCCTAAAGTTTTGAAGTATATGCGCTTACTAGTATATGCCTAGTAAGAGTATATTCTGAAGGATAAAGCAAAGCAGCTCCTTGAGTGTTAGCCTAAGAATCTCTGTATTCATGATAAAACGAAAACTTATAACAAAAGCATACGTGGAGGGCTGCTGAGGTTGCATTCTGAGTTGGCTTGGTGTATTTGGGTAAGTCTCCACCTGAAGCCCAGTTGAGGCTGAGGGTCCTCCTTTTCCCAGGAAATGAGCAAATTAAGAATGACCTTCCAAGAAGGAAAAAGTTTAGTATATTGATGCCTAAGCAACTTTATCTTTCTTCCTTTCGCTTCCTAATTTACAGCCTTCTGTGACTGGTTTACAGGAGTTTTCAAAAGATGTGATTAGCTTTACTTGCAAGAAACTTGCAAGAGTTTCAGGGTAATGATGTGTCAGCTATAAACTCATTCAGCTAATCTGAAGGAAAATTTGTAGAGCAGGAAAGAACTAGATTCAGAGGTGCTGACTTGTGAAACATGGTGGTAAGTGCCTTTCTAGCTAAAAGATCTAAAATTCTAGCTTCCTAATTGTGCAAAGGAAAGGACATGATGATGAGCATAAAGAAAAAAATCTAAACATCATCAGCAACAAAAACATGTATTCATTTATATGCTCCATGCCCAAGGTCTTCCTCTCCCATCAAAATTAGGAAAAGTCAATATGATTTCTCACAGAGGTCAGAAGGGAAATGGCTGCAACCCATTACTCCATGTGAAGAGTTGCAGGCAGAGGCAAGCATGTTTGATTAGGAGCCACCTAAGCACAACACACAGCAAGGTAGAGCAGCAAGGGATGAACGTCAAAGTCACTGCTGATTAAATAGCAAGCTATGTCTTTGAATGAGTTTAGTTTCATTAATTCATTCACTTTATCTTTGTGGATGTACACAGCATCCACTGAAAGCAAGACACTCTGGGGAACACAAAGTTATAACAGCTCTCACCCTGCCATCATCACCACGTATTCCAGTTACTATGATTGCAAACTAATTTACCCCAAAACTTAGTGGTATTAGACAATTGTTTATGATCTCACGGATTATGTGGGTCAGGGATTCACTAAGGGGACTGCAAAGATGGCAAAGATGGCTCGACTCTCTATCATGGTATCTAGGGTCCTCAGATGGAAGATCTGAAGGCTGGTGGCTGGAATCATCTGAAGCTTGTTCTTTCATTTGTCTGGTGGTTGATGATGACCATCAACTGAGACCTTAGCTGGCAAATCGGCCCAAACTCCTACACATGGTCTCTCCATGTGGCCTGGGCTTCCTCACAGCATGATGGTTGGTTTCCAAAGGTCAATGCCAGAGAGTGAATCAGGCAGAAGCTGTGTCTTTTTTATGACCTAGCCCCAGAAGTCACATAGCATCAATTCCACTGTATAATATTGGTTATGACATTCACATACCTTGCAGAAATGGAATAGGAGGGAGCATCAACCCCCTGTATTAGTGGAACAAATATCAGTCCCACTGAATGAAAAGCAGATACGTGTGTGTGTGTGTGTGTGTGTGTGTGTGTGTGTGTATTAAAACATACATATATTAATATATGAACATATATAAAATCATCTTTGGAAAACACAATCTACCACAATTAGTAAAAGAAAGAAATTATCACAGTACAAAATAAAAAGTGATTTTTATTCGTCTATTTCCAATCATATGAGTCCTTGGGCCGTCACTTACAAAATAACACAATGTGATTACAGTATTGTGATTATTTTGTGGCCTGGGCTTCCTCACAGCATGATGGTTGTACAAAATAACACATGATGTGTACAAAATAACACAATGTGATTACAGTATTGTGATTATTTTGTAAATGATGGCCCAAGGACTCATATGATTGGAAATAGACGAATAAAAAATAATACCTGACCACTATGCTTTCCAACCTTAAATCACTACCATATTACTTCCATCGTTTTCACTATGACTCTCTCACCGTCTCTACTATTGTTTCTTCAATGTTTTTAAAAAGTTATTAGATGCTACATATACTGCCTTTTTTTTTTTTTAAGACTCTGAGACGGAAGCAAGTCCTTTCTTTGTCAAGAAAACAACAGCAACAACAACAACAAAAAATGTCAGCAGGTGTTACAATCACACTCCTACCAAATGAAGGCTCTCCCCTTGCCTTAATCTGAAAGATTTGATAGAGAAGTGGAAGGAAATGATGCCTCTGGAGAAAAGCAGGGATAATAATAGCTATGTCTTTGTACTACCCAGGAGCCTTTAAATTACTGCCAATGTGATAGCCTTACTTTTTTGGCAAACACTGATCCCGAGTGATAAAAATTCTAGATACTGAAGCATTAATCTGGCCAAAACCAAATTCCTGGGATCTCTGAAGGAGAGCATCATCTGACATTAAATTGATGCTTATTCACTAATAAAGATATTTGTAACCCATCATTGGTCAGAGGTTAACCTCTTCTCACTCCGTGTGGGTGCATGTGTGTGTGTTCCTCATAAATACTTCCTGGAAAGATCAGTGAACCAAAAAAGATCTTGACTAGTTGGCTTCTATATAAAGCCTAACTGCCCCCATTGTCTGATTACTATTCTCCCACATCCTAGTGGAATTGACTTTTTGCTTCCCTACTTTGGTATAACTAATGTTCCTGGGCATTTTGGGGCCACCCTAAGTCCAGAGCCCCTAGACAGAGTTGCAGTTCTTCTAAATCTAGTAACATTTATTTGTAAAATAATTATTAGCACTTGCAGCAGCCAGTGTTGTACTAGGCTCTAGAAATGTCAAGGACAGCCAGAGATAAATACCTTCTTGAAATACGGAGAAATGCACTTGGGGCCAGCTATTTCTCCCCTAAAATGTCATTAATTGCTTAGCAACCCCATTGTTTTTTGCTAGAGTATTCATTTAAAAACACCACTTCCTAGAGATTCCTTGGGATTTTTTTCTCAGCAGAGATGGTTAGATCATTTTTATAACTTCTTCTCCTGGACCTTTTCTTTGTGTTTTTCAGCAGTATTCAGGTCTGCAGAGGTTAGGAGGAAGACAATAACTAGATATTTATCTTCAGGGGAATCCATTCTGTAGCCTTTAACATACTCTAAGACTTTTAACTACAGTGTCTTCCTAGGCATGGGCCAGCGTTGACAGATCTTCTTTTCCTTCTTTATAGTCAGCTACGGTGAAGCTGTCTAAACCAGTGGCTCTATGGACCCAGCAGGATGTCTGCAAGTGGTTGAAGAAACATTGTCCGAATCAGTATCAGATCTACAGTGAGTCATTCAAACAGCATGACATAACTGGTAAAGTATGCAGTATTCCAGATATTTCACTCCCTTTCTTTCACCCAGTCACGATGGCCTTTCCCATACCCTTACCACGAAGCAGCATCTTCCTGCTGAAATTTTCTGGCATGGATTTTCTTTCAAAGGGGTGATAAATTCCAGATTTCTGTGAGCCATGCTATATAACAAACGTATGTGGTTATTATAGAATGCTGTGATTTTGAGTGCCCATTGTAAAAGTATATGGGAATCACGGTGCAGGGTTGGGGGAATCCTAGAAAAAATGAACATACAAATCATAGAGAAAGGAAAGAAGGAAGTCTTTCACATGAACTTGGCTACAGAATCACTGTGTAGATCTTCCAAATAGAAAAGATTTCTAGATAGGAAAAATGCTTTTTTAAAAAAATTTATTTATTTTACTTTAGATGCATACTATATCTGGCATTTCTCCCCATGTTATCCCTCCCTACCCTACCCTCCCTCTCCACCCCCTGCTGTCTCTCCCCTACCCCGCCAACTTCCCCCAGTGTGTGATGTTTCTCTCCCTGAGTCCATGTGTTCACGTTGTTCAACACCCACCTATGAGTAAGAACATACGGTGTTTGGCTCTCTGTTCTTGTGTCAGTTTGCTGAGAATCATGGTTTCCAGATTCATCCAAGTCCCTACAAAGGACACGAATTCATCATTTTTTATGGCTGCATAGTATTCCGTGGTGTATATGTACCACATTTTCTTTGTCCAGTCTGTCATTGATGGGCATTTGGGTTGGTTTCAGGTCTTTGCTATTGTACACAGGGCTGCAATGAACATACGAGTGCATGTGTCTTTATAGTAGAACACAAACCCGGAAAATGCTTTTTTTAAAAATTTTAAGATAAAGTATATTGACTTCTTTGACTGAGTGAGCTATACACATGTATCCAATCACATGAAAGAGTCCATGGTAGAAAGTCAGTTTCCCTGACACCCCTGTCCTCTGGACATTCATTTCCCTGTTGACCACCTTCTTGCATCCGCACCTAGCAATGTTCCAAGCTTCTGAAATGGAATATAATAATACTAACTCTCTGCCCTTGGGATGAATACCTTCAAGGTACAGATTATGATGCCATTTAGATAAGGGTATTCGAATATGATATGTGGATGTCAATAAGTACTTGCAAGCAGAAAATAGGAAGGCCCTTCAGATCAAGTCTCTCATTTGGAGGATGGAGTGGGCAAGATGGAGCAAATATGCTCACCATGGTAGCCCATCAGAGGAAGGAGGGCATTTCCAGACCTGGCCTGCCCTTTCACCCTAAGATTCTGCTTGCATGTGGGCAACACTTCTCTTCTCCCTTCAGTGCAGTGAAAGATAGGCCTGAGGATATACTCTGTGAACCAAAACTGTGTGGCTTCCAGGGGGAAACAGTGTTGTTTCTGGTCCAGAGCTGCTTTCTTTCTGAGAAAATGCTGACACTCTGGTGGTAAAGTGACTTGTCATGAAATAGCTCAACACTCTAGATGACAAACCTCTTTCCAAGCCCGCTTCTATCTTGAGAAATCCTAACCTCTCTCGTTCTGTTCACTCCTATTAGTTTGAAAAGGGACTTGTTAAGCAGAAAGTATTTCTTTTTGCAGTTCAGCTCTTAGGCTGTAGCTGTGGATCTGGGGCAGGTCAGTTCACCTTCTTAGAATAGGTCTCAGTTGATGGTTTTCTAAGTGTGTTTCATGGAGCCCTTGACTGCCAAAGGGACATGGGTGTGCTTTGGATAGAGGTGGGTGTGTGAACCAAAGCTGCTCTCTTTATGTCTGTTGTATATATTTCAATCATACAGAAAACTTGATTGATTTTGAAAAAGAGTTCCAGCACTAAATGTTTAAAAAAAATGTGGAGCCTAGATGATCAAAGATTCCTGCTGACCACATTGACATAGCTAAATATATAGGGAACACACCCAATCATAGCTCAAGCTGAGTTAACAAACAAGAGAGTAAAATCCTCTATCTTAAATATAAATATGATTCTTTATGCATTTCTTCTCTGCCAGTCCCAACTAGAGCCAGTGGCCCTTTTGGATGAAATCTCTGAAATTCTGAAGGCAGCATGGATAGTTAGGTTAGATTCCAAGTGTCTAGATTCCATTTTCTTAGTTCCTCCCTTAAGAATGTAAGAAAAGCCCATCTAGGGTCAGTTATTCAACTCCTAAAAGTAATCAATCAGTTAGTAACCATTTGCCTGACTATGGTAGCCTTCATCAGATAATGGCTGCTTAATGTTTCTTAATGTCTGTGTGATAGTAATGGCAAAGCCTTTTTCATGATCTTATTTGAAAGCAATGTTATCTTTTATTAGGGGTGAGAATTATGAGGTCCCCTTGAGGGAAGGATAAGCATTTATAATGGTTTGAAGAGGACCAGGCTTACAGTCCTCAGAAATAAAGATTCATGCTTCAACGCTTATGGAATAAATGGTCCCACTTCCCAAGGTTTTCTGCTAAGTGACATGAGGACAGGAGTGTGGGAATGAGGTATGTATTTCAAACAGTTGTCGTATGCTTTTGGTGGCAGACTTGGTCTTCATGAAACACACTTGGTATTGAGAAATCACAACTGTCTTGGGATCTTGGGCAAGCTGCTTAACCTGGGAAAGTTACTTAACCTCACTTCCTCATCTCCAAAATACAAATAATAGTACCTGGCTCAGAGACATGTTGTGAAAATGAAATGAAATAATACAGGTAAACCACTAAGCTAACCATTTATTGGCTCCTTTTACATGCCAGCATTATCCATGTCAAGACTCACCTGGAGGTGTTAAAAAACATCCCGTTATTTCATTTTAAGGGCAGCCTATTTTCTGGCAAGAAAAGAAAGCAGGGAATTATTTGGGGACTTAGGGAACAGAGAGAATGATTTCAGATTAACATTTGGTCTACATCTTTTTGACATTCACCTATTTGAAGTCTCAGAAGACCACTGTTCTCTGGCCCCTGCCTCTCTAAGAGTGAATGCAAAATACCCAAATGATCACAAGTGCCAAGTGTACAGAAAATAGCTTTCAGGACTTCAGCCAGTATGCATTTACCAGCCATATGATGGTAGAAGCTGTGGGAATCCCAGTACTCTTGAAGGCTGTTATAAACAAGGCAAAGAGGTTTGTAAAACACACACACACACACACACACACACACACACACACAGACACACACAACAAAGGTAAAATGTTGAAAGGAGCCAAATTTTCAAAACAAACATCACATACCTTACTGACAGAGGAAAAAGGATAAGAATTCCAGGGCACTTCTATTGAGAAACCTCTTAAGCAAGAAGAAATGAGTGAAAACTTTAAAGAGTTGAAACAAAAAAATTTTCCAATTTCATATCCAATAAAATTATTCTTAAAACATTAAAGAAAAGTAAGGAAAGACTTAACCAAACAAAAACTTCAGGAATTCAGTGCCAGCAGATTGCCCTGCAAGGAATGATAAAAGAAGTTCTTCAGGCAAAAGAAAAATGATATAGATCAGAATTTTGGATCAACATAAAGAAAGGAAGAATGTCAAAAAAGGAATAAATGAAGGTACAATAAATTCCTTTTTTCTTATTGATCTAAAAGTTAACTGTTTAAAGCAATAATAACAAGAATACATTAGGTTTTATACCATATAGATAAATAAAATGAATAACAGCAATGTCACAAGGGATAGAGGAAGGAATAGAGAATTCTGTTATAAGTTACCTACAATACATATGAAGAATAGTGTTATTTGAAGGTGGACTTAGATTAATTAAAAACATATGTGGTTAACTGTAAGTCAAACATCAATATTTTTTTATAAAGGAAAGATAAAATGTGTATTGAGAAGGTAAAATGAAATTGTATCAAATACTCAGTTAAAATCAGAAAAGATAGAAGAAAAAAGCAACAAAAGCAATGAATAGAAAAGAGTTATAAAGATGATAGATTTTAATTCTATCCACAATTGCCTTAAATGTGAATAGTCTTAACACACTAGTTAAAAGACAGAGATTGTCAGATTAGAGGCAAAAACCTAACTATATTCTCTCTAGAAGAAACACACTTTAAGTACTCAGGTTAATGGTAAAGTATTGAAGAAAATGTATTACACTAGCACAGTCAAGAAAGTTATAGTAGTTATATTGAATTAAGACAATGCAGACTTCAGAACAAGGAAGAGCAAAAAAATAAATAAAGAGGGCAATTACCAAATGATACAGGGTTACATTCTTCCAGAAGACATAACAGTTCTAGACATTTGTACTCTTAACATGGAACATCAAAATACATAAGGCAAACACTGATAAATTTCACGTAGAAAATGATAAGTTTACCATTACAGTTGTAAACTTCAACATCACTCTCTGATGATCTGAGGAGTATTGTCAACCAACACGACCTAATTGACATCTATAGAACACTTTATAGAATGTATGCCCAATATACATTCTTCTCAATAGATGCAGAGAAAGCATTTGGCAAAATTCAGTGTTGATCCTTAATTTTTAAAGAACTTGTCAGAAAAGCAGAAACAAAAGAAATTTTGATAAACAGTATTTATGGTGAAACTGCAGGTAACATCATCCTAAATGGTTAAAAAAACTATTTTTCTCTAGACTAAGATAAGAACATTAGTTTTCCTACCTTCTATTAAATATTGTTCCAAAGACCCTAGTCAGTGAAATAAAGCAAGAAAAAGAATTAAAAACAAAAAGATTAGACAGAAGTAAAATTATTTTTATGTATAGATCAAGTGGTTTATATAAAAGAACTGTAAGATCTGAAAGTTGAGTGTTATCTAAAATACATGGGACTAGAAGTGTTTTCAGTTTTGTATTTTTTTTATTTTTGAATATTTGCAGAGTACATGCCAGTTGAGCTTCTCTAATCCAAATATTTAAAATCTGGAGTACTGCAGTTAGCATTTCCCTTGAGCTTCCTGCTGGTGTTCTGGATTTTGGAGTATTTCAGATCTTGAATGTTCAGATTAGGGATGCTTATCCCACGTGAAGA